GCAAACAGTCTTGTAAAATCTGTATTGATCTTCTCTATCAATATATATTTTAAATTTGAAAATACTGTGTTTGTATTCATCCCCCCTTTCTACAAACTGTTTCTATTCTTGTAGACCCTTACGGGACCAACATACTTCAAAGTGTGATGAGTGCTACTAGAATGTTCGAAGTTACAACTCACCTTGCAGCAAATGCTCAACTAGAAAATTGTTTTCATACAAGCCAGCTAGGACTACATCAGTTGTGGCATGAAAGGTATGGCCACCTAGATAAAGACGCTTCAAACCAAGAAAATGGTACGATGATTGCCTCACTTTGAAGTTAAAGACGATACCTACTAAGATTGTATAAAAGGAAAGCGACCCAGGAACCCAACTCCTAAGCACAATATGTGGAGGGCAAAAGAAGTTTTGGAACTCATTCATTCAGACATTTATGGTCTGATCAGTTCGATATCCAACAATGGCAAAAGGTTCATTTTATGTTTTATAGATGATTTTAGTTGCAAGGCATGGGTGTATATCCTTGCAAAGAAAATTGAGGCATTAAGTCACTTTTAAAACATTTAAGAGTTTTGTTGAGAAAGAAGCAAGAAAACGAAGTAAGTGCTTAAGGACTGATAAGGGATGTGAATTCACCTCCAATGAGTTCAATGTCTATTGCAAGGAGAATGGAATCAAAAGGCAACTCACCACTGCTTATATGCCCTACACAAATGGCATAGCGGAACGCAAAAATCATATGATGATGAATATGGTGAGATCAATGTTGACAGCAAAAAAGTTTCTAAAAACCTTCTAGCCTGAAGCAGTGAATTGGACGTTGCATGTTCTAAACAAACGTCCTATGCTAGAAGTAAAACATCACACTGTAAGAAGATTGGAGTGGGGAAAATCCCTCTATATAACACTTATGAACATAGGGATGTTTGGCTCATGTGCACATACCTAAAGTTAATAGATGTAAACTTGATGACAGAAGTTGTACTTGTGTTCTTTTGGATTTTAGTGATGAGTCAAAGGGTATAGGTTGTTTGATCCTAAACAAAAAGGGTGACGGTGAACAAAGATGTAGCTTTTGAAGAAAATAAAATATAGGAATGGGGAGAGAAATGACTAAGAGATGAAGCCACCATGAAAAAGCTATTTCAATTAATTTCCCTAATTTAAAATATAAATATATATTGCATTTCAATTTCAATATAATAGTTTATGTACAAATATTAGTTTGAAGCATTGACAACAACTCATTAGCAATCTGATCACACAAATTAGCCATATATTCATTATTGTCTTAAGGACCTCATTATGTTCCTCTTACTTTTTTTTTCTTGCTTCATTCATTAGCGAATAAGGTTTTCTCATCGGATTTCATAAAATAATTTATCTTGCATGTTACATCTTACTTATAAAGTTATGGATTGTGAATACAAACAATTATTATACTTTTTGTATTAAGAATAGATAAGTAGCCATTTATTTTAGGATTGAGACTCCTTTCAAGACACCTTAAGTTTGTTCGATGACATTTCTAATGGTTTAATGAGGTTAATAGGTTGTATGATTACTTGATAAACCACAACTGACTATTTGTTTGGGACTTATTAATTCAAGTGATAGCTTATTCACTCAACTGAGCAAGAGGGGCTTAATCCATTAAGCATACAACCCTTCCAAAACTACCATTTACCCCTCATGCTCTCTTTCGCTTTGTTTCCCTCACGTTATTGCCCCTTTCTAATGATGACCACTTAAAGTCTCACAAGTATGAAAAAACACTTTCCTTTTCGATAATGATTACTTGTAATCTCACCTGAAACCTATGTCGATTTGATAAAAGAAGTTGTTGATGTGTGCGTAGTTTTTTGTTCTCGATGTATTTTTTGGTATTGTAAGCATGTTCCGTCTCGACAATTTTTGTTGATTCGTTAGCATTGTTGTCTTGGTGTTTTGAGCTTGGCTTTTCTTAGTGGGTTTTTGACTACTTTTACACTAAAGATAGCTTTCAGCCAACCATCAGACTTTATAAAAAATGGAGATAGTTTTGAGGCATTGTAGAGATGGTTTGAGCACTTGAATTCTTGATTTTCTTTACGTATTTCTTTTGCCATTCAGTAAAAAGCCTAGGAAGGCACTTACCAATAGGGTTGTAAGCGAAAACAACTCGTGAGTTACTCGAGTTCGACTTGATCCAAACTCGGTCAACACTTAACTCGTGTAGGCTTGTCGAGTCGAACTATTCTATAGTTGACAAACTTGTGTTTTATATGTAATTAGTTTTATAATATAATTTAAAAGATATAAATTTGAAAATTATTAATATATTAATAGTAAAAAAAACTTAAAAATATCAAAAAATAAATATGAAAGAAATCTAAAAGTTGTTTCACTCTATTGGCTATATTAGCTATTTCCCACCTTATTTATACTATATTATAAAGCATTTGATACAAATTTTTAAAACCATTTTTTATGCATGAAGTACTGTATATTAATGCATATTATTTAAAATTTAAGATTACAAGTAAATTATATATAAGTACAACTTATTAAAACTTCATGTTTGAATTTGTGTAACTAACTKCGGATAAACATAATCAAATAGAGAATAAACATCTCATTTTAAAATATAAAAAAATCTAAAATATAATTAGGGTAATTATCGAGTTCTAACAAAATAATTAATTATTATCTTTGTAAGAAAATTATATTATTAAACCAAATATAAATTAATTTGTTATTAAACCTAAATTAAATTATAATAAAAAAAATTGAATTAAAAAATTACATAAAAATATGAATTTTAAATAGTTAATTTGATACTAATATTGATATATGTTTGTCAAAATTTTATGATATCTTCAAATTTATATTTTATTCAAAAGTAAAAGCATCATCGTTTTTTCAAAATCACATAAAACTATACTATAACATTTACTGAGATAAATAATAAAATAAAATATTAAAATAAAGATGTATCTCGCTGCATTGCGCGAGTACCATCTAATACCAAAAAAAAAGGGTAGGTTTGGATATGAGTACGAGATTATAAAAAGTCAAACTTTTTCTTAATTACTTTTGGATATATTTCGAGCTTCTGTCTTCAAATTCAAAAAATTGCTATCAAGTTCGAGTCGAGTTTGAATTATTCATGTTTGTGAGTTTTTAAGTCGGGTTCAAACATACAAAATAACAATCAAGTTTGAATCGAATTTGTCATTGTATCGATACTCGAACTCGACTCACATCATTTACACCCTTTCTTGATTCATAAAACTAATCAGTAATTCAAAATTTTATTATTTTTTCCTGCACCAGATCAGACTCAGGGGTTGTTTAGTAGTTGCTGAATGGTCTAGTGCATAATGATTAAGTGGTCAGAATGATTAAAAGACTTTTATGACATATTGTGAAATGAAATAAAATTGTTTGGTAATTGTTTACAATGCAATTAGAACGTTGAATAATTAAGGGAGACCCATGATTAAAAATCATTCAGAAGGTTTTAAAACTATTAAGAGGCATAATTATTTTTTGGTAAATAAAATTCAAATTCATTCCTTATCGATTCAAATAATGTCACTTAATGAAACTATTAACTAGTTTGGAAACCCATTAATCGAAGCCCAAAAGCCCATTTAAAAAGTCACGGATCAGAGGCCCAAAGCAGACCTTTTTATTAACCATCCCTAGTCCCCTACTGCACCAAAACAAGCACAAACATACCAGAAGAAATAATGGCGATGGCTTCATTAATGGAGGTTGAAGAGAGTGAAGCAACCAACATATATATACCAGAAGAGTGGTCCGAAGCGGCGGACACCATAGTCTATGGTGGTGCACAAACTCCGGTGGCATTTATATGTGGCCCCAAAAACAGCGGCAAGTCAACCTTCTCACGTCATCTCCTTCATCTTCTCCTCCGTAGGTAAATTGTGAAGAAGCTTTTTCAGTTATATGTATGTATATGTATATGTTCCTTGTACATTTGTGTTGATGTCCCGTGCTACTTTTGCAGAGAAACGTTTTACTAGGTGTTTTAGTGTAATCTAGATTATGTTAGTACTTTCTGGAATTTCGGTTGGAAGGTTTTACAGTTAGCTGGATTAGAGGTTAAGATTCGTCGACATGCCATTGCCAAGTTGATTTTTTAATTGATGCGGTGTATGAAATATGGGTTCTGTAACAAGTAAATAATGAACTATTGATTCAATTAGGTTCAGTTCTTGTACAAATTTCCTAGGTTATTTGTGCAGATTTCTAATAAATACATTGGCTTCCATTTGTTCTTCCTCCACTTTGTACATCCTATCTCCATTCTCCTCGCATCAAATAAGGTGATCCAATCACATTTTGTTCCTCCAAACGCCATATAGTTGAGACTTGAGACACAAAATAAAGATGCTAAAATGATGGGTTTTGATTGGCAATGATGTCACGAGGTCATCGACATCATATTCTTACTCTCTCTAAAAACATATGAGGCCATATAATATAGTGATGTGCAAGTTTTTAAAGAACGGATACGAGCCTTGAGGTGTTTTACCCTTAGCTACATGAGGGGTAAGCACCAAAACTTAAATAAAAAAATTCATAACACTCAACATAAAACATAATTTCATATTTCTGTACCAAATAACCAAACTATGAAATCCTTAACTCCTAAAAGAACTAGTTATGAAATCCATGATGAATCCCAGTTGGTTTGCATACAAATAGAAGATAAACTTGTTGTAATGATTATTGAAGGGAACTCGTAGAAGGTGAGGAAGTGATGATACAGCCTGTGAAATGAAAATATGCTATTTGTCATAATGCTTTGAACATGAACTTTATTATTTCTTAGGTTACAAATTATGAAATTGTTCTTTATCCCGAAAAGATAATTATCTTAGACAGAAAATCGTGAAAAATCTGTTGTTCTTTTTTTCCCATCTTTCGGTGTTTTATTTTTAAAAGGTTCTATCAGATTTAAAGTTTGGTAGGGGACAAAGTTGCTGAGTTTTTGAAGTCTTTTTCAGGTACGAGAGAGTTGCTTACTTGGATACTGATGTTGGACAGCCTGAGTTTACCCCTCCTGGATGCCTCTCACTCACTGTACTTGATAGAGAAACCATCGGTATATTCTTCAAAAAGACTTGTAATAATGTGCTGATGCTGCTATTTATTTCCCTGAATTTTACATTCAGTGCATTATGGATGCTGACATTTTCTTTTGCTTCTTGTCTTCCTGAATGTTTTTGTTGCATTACAGATTTGAAATTTCTGCCAGAAAGGTATTATTTGTTTTCTTAATCACATACCTTCGTTTCACATAGAAACTTCTTGTGAAGATTTATAGCTACATAAATTTAAATGTTTCATAGTTAATTACTGAATGTTCAAAAGCCACTACTCCCTCGGTAGGAAAATAGGTGCATCACTGTGGCATCACTCATATCATACAGAAGAGGGACAAAACCTGTCTTTGATCATGCAAGTCCCCTCACATGATTTTGTCATACACCCAACGGCTATTTTGCCACTCAATTATGGTGCGGTTAGATCTAACATCAAAGTGTATGAGTCACCCATGGTAGACTTCAAGATTACCAAATCAAAGGACATCATATACAATGACAACGTGGGAAACACTTATAACATTAAAACTCATATGACTGCATATAATATTCTCTCGTGATGGGTTGTCTAGTACACCAGTCATCAATTCGTGCCCAATACCCATATGTTTGAACTCTATATCATCCATATGAGTTCTACATATATTAGCGTAAATGAAACCACTTAAAACCAAGTCTAAATTACTGCTTTATTTAAGACTTTTAAGAATAAAAATATTATAGAGTTATTGTCATGTTCGCCATACAACACAAGGTACAAAAATAAAACATTCTATCGGTCGACACCTTTATTAATGAAATCTTAACTCAATGCCCCAAAATACAATCATAAAATGATGGATTTTGGGCATACTACTGTTAGGGATTACTGTTTTGCTGTCCAAATACAGGAGTGTTTTTGCCAATAATTCATACACATATTACTTGTTTGATACATTTGTCTTTGTATTTCTTATTTCTTTTATTTTGGATTTAATAACTCAACCATACTGTGGAAAATAATCTTTACATGCATGATTGAGCGCACGTTCTTCTCTTTTGTTCCAAATTTCTTCAGATGCTTCTTCTTTGGTGACATTTCTTCAAAAAGAGATCCAGAGATTTATTTGACATATATATTTGCCCTATATGATCATTATCATAAACAGCATCACGAACTTTCAAGGAGTGCTTCTCCCGGTAAAAGTGGGGTGCCCCTAATTGTCAACACTCCCGGCTGGGTGAAAGGTATGCTTTAATTCTGCTGCATCCCTTTCAGAATGTGATAAAGCTGCAGCACTTGGTTTCATGAACCAGATTTGTTACTTGTCTGTCAGGTATCGGATATGATTTGCTGGTAGATATGTTGAAGCACATTGCCCCTAGTCACGTGGTTAATATTTGTATTTCTGCTAAAAGTAAGAACCTACCCTCTGGAGCCTTTTGGTCTCAAGACGGTGATGCTGGGGCAGTAACCCTAATTGAAATTAATTCAGCCCGCCAGGACTCGTTAAACAGATCGTATGTTTCTGTAAACTCTTTAATCACTGCACTTAGTGAATCATAGTGATGGATTCCTATCCATTTAGTGATATCATGTTTTGTGCTGCTTGCTTCAATTTTTATTCAAATCTGAACTCACTCCCTTAATCCATCTTGAATTCTTACATATTTTATTACTTGCTGAAGTTTCATTTGCTTATCCAGGGTACTGGTACAGAAGGATTCACGTCATCTACGGGATTTAAGTATCGTGACATATTTCAGGCAGTGCTTTCCAAGTGACATGAGTATCAGCACAATTAAGGAAGTTGCTCGAGCATTGGCTGCTCACCCTCCTTATGAAGTTCCTGTGTCAGCTGTCAGCATTAAACACCTTCATTGTGAGGTTACTTCAAGACTTATGTCAATAGCGTCATGTTGGTTTTCTCTGGAAATATCTTTGGTGCATTTTGCATTTCTTTTTCATTTCATCCTGTTCTTTTCATTAATTCCATCATTCCTAAATCATTGTTGGCGTGCAACTTGGCACCAACTTCAAGAAAGCTATTAGATTGACACAAAAGGAATTCCTACATATTTGAACTTCTGTTTCTACCTTTGAAAGCTTGTAAATTATGATGTACACGAATCCAAATGGTTAATCGCATACACAATAATGATTGCAGAGAACGAAGAATCATGGTGATGCAATAGTTTGCCTACATCCCTGGGTGTTGTTAGGATTCTTATTATAACGGTGAATTCAATAGTGCATACAGTAAAGGAAGATTGCACATAATATAACAAAAAACCTAGACATAAAATGGATATGGAAACCGTCGTGAACATTGTTTTACAAAATTAACAGGGGGCTGGCATCCCCAGACCTTCTGGGCGGTATATAATGCAACCACCTCTTATATTAATTAGGAGAGAAGGCATCTGGACCTTTTACAGCATATGATTTATATCAGTCGCCCTAAATAGTAAACATCATGCAAATACTCTCTTTAAAGTTCTAGCTTTTGCTGAGAAGTTTTAGGGTTGATTACATCATCTTTAACTTCTGATGGGTCTCTCTTTTTATCCTACCCAACCTCGTCAAGGATAACTCTTTACTTTAGTACATTGAGGAAACTCCAATCCAACTAATGGCTCACCGGATGTTAGCAAAGCTTTAAAAGTTATTGACTCAGATATACATACCTTGATACGCTATCTTGGGTTCATTTTCCTAATGCAGGTACCCAAAGATGAAATTTTCTACAGTTTGAATGCAACCATTGTTGGATTGGCAGTTAATTCTGAAGATTCTGGGCATTTGCCTCGCTGTGTTGGCCTTGGTAGGTTATATATCAGAACTTGCTCGACATCTACTTGCTAGTTATTCTATTAGTTGTTGGGATCATGGCGGTGCAACTTTTCTTCTTTTTTGTTCTCTCAGATGTGTGTATATATATTATATGTGTGACTGTGTGTATCCCTCATAAAACCTTTTCGTACCTGTCTGTGTTTTTAAATGGCATAGGGGTATTCCGGAAAAGGGTGTACCCTAAACCCGTTCCCCTTCCAAAATTTCTCCAGGAACTGCGTTTTTGCTGTGTGTGTTTTTGTCTGCATTCCGACTGTCTTGCCTGCATACAAGGCAGAAGGTAGGCAGCCCCTTACCTTCTGCTCCCACCTTATATATGTGTGCATGTATCATCGTTGGTTTGTTTCTATTTGTTGAGATTATAGTCTTGATTACATACATTTCTATGGGGCTGTTTACTAAACCCTTACTACCTCTTGCCGGGTGATTAAACACTTATTGCCTCTTACCGGATAAGAAACGGTTACCTGGTCAATGATGATGATGTTTAATAACAATCTTACCGTGCCATTTTGCCATCTGAGAATCTTACCCAATAAGTGACGGTGGCGACTCTTACCCGGTTACTGCTTACCTGACACTTATTCTATATTATTTTGGTGGCCAAGAATCTTACCTAAGGTAAGTGAGGGTGGTGACTCTTACCCGGTAAACGCTTACCCAGTTGGTGATGGTAAGCGGCCCCTAAGTGGGATGTTGGATACGCACGTGTAAATATGCACAAGTAGACATCAAAGATATGCATATGCCTATATTATGTCAAAGCACAACTTCAGTTTTTTGATTTTTCACAACTTATGTATATTATGTTCAAACTAAGATGATATAATATGGCAAAAATCAAACTTTCGCCATAATCTAGTTCACCATCCTGTATTGTCTTCAGGAATTGTTCGTGGAGTAGACATATTGAGACGGGTCCTCTACATAATAACCCCTGTTCCACAAAATGTTGTGGAGGATGTTGATGTTCTACTGCAAGGCTTCATTCAGATTCCTACATACTTGTTGCAGGTGCATACCCATCTCTCATTAGCAATTGTCTATATGAAAGAAAATATTCACGACTTCTCTCCTTTATCCACACGTATATTTATATACATACGATGATCTTGTATATTTAAGCTCACAGAAATTAGTTCCTGCGAACTTTTTGAATTCTTATACCAAACTTTTTCATTGCAAATAAACTATTATTCTTTCGAACAAGCAATCATTGGTTTGGACAAATCCAAGCAGTATTTGCATTTCCACAGTTGACCCTTAATCGAACATTCTTCAATGTTTGGTGTTAAATTTTCCAATCAGAACAAATAGTTAGTCACTCATCTGTTTGCTGGTAGTCTGGTGTTTCGCACACATTTGAATTGAGTTAAAACCATCCATGCCATTTTTGTCTTTAAAGACCATGTTTGGCAATCATAAGCTAGTTTTGTTTTGAGCTTATTGAAAAAGCCTCTTTTGGTAAAGCCATAAACTAACTTATAAACTGGCTTTTTGAAAAGCTATTTCAGATACCTTTTCAATTAGCTCTGGGTTTTTTCAAAAAGCCTTTTAATTATTCCCTTTATATGTTAAAATTGAGTATTTTTTTAACACGTTCTTTCAAGTCATTTTACATTGTCATCTGGCTTATCAGTTAGTGTTTTTTTACCAAACATGATTAGTTTTTTATCGAACTTATCAGCTAACAGCTAGCTTATTATCAACTGGTTTGTCAAACATATCCTTACGTGTTTGCTTTGTGGTTTAGGTACAAGGATCTGTTTCACCATACATGGCTTCCAATGTCCTGCCCGGAATTTGAACTACTGGAGTTGCTGATTACCATCAACAGGGAAATACTTATGTGCGGAAAGGACTACAGTAAATTGACATGTAAGGTAAGGATATGTTTACTATTACTCGTTTTTTAGAAATATGATGCACATACATCAAGTAGAGCGAGCGAGTTTATCGCTCTGCTTGTTTTCCCCATGCCAATGCTTTCGCATGTTTATTGTAGTCTCAGGAAAATGGTTCTGCTTCGGAAAGAAGGATTAGAGATTTGTCCATTTTATATAAATATTTCTTATCCCGGCGATGAAGATTTATAGATGGAAAGAAAGATATAAATTCATCGTATTTTCTAATTGCTTGTTTTCTTGGATAGGCATAATGGTGTCTTAGGGATTGGCATAATGTCGTGCTAAGGGGATGGTTGTTTCCTTCTGACAGATTTAAGAATGTTTATTGTTAACACAAAAATGCCTCAAATTATGTCATTGATATACTTTTACTTTTTGCTTGTCCAAATCCGCCTCTACTCAAGATTTTCTTATCTATATATAAACTATGCTGTTATTTGCAGCGCTGTGATAGCGGATTACGGACTAGGATAAAATTGCGGTGGTCAAACTGCAGTGAAAATTGTGTTTCCGATATAAGTGGCACAATTGACCGATATTTGAGGTGAAATTGCGGACCAATATTCCGATATTTTAGCTTGGGCCTCTTTAGAGCTATGTTGACTTGGATGCTGAACCTATTGCTTGTGATTTGCTCTTTTGTGAACGTTTTTCCTATTTTGTTTTGTAAAAACATCTTTAAATTGATGTTTTGATGTTGAAACTATATTTTTAATTAATGAATATGATATGTTAATGTATGCGTACATACATATATAATACATACATATACATATACATATACATATACATATACATATACATATACACATATATACATAGCTATACGTATGTATACACACATATAGGGAAGGGTTCAAATGAAAACATCTCTATTTTACGAAATATGCGAGAACACTTCTAGGACTCTAAATTAATTAACACATAATAAAAAATTAGAATAAATGAAAATAAATTAGTATTTATCTATAATTTTCTCATATACCTTAAATTTTGTTATTATCATAAGGGATTTTTTATGTTATGCGTCTGTTGTCGATAATGATGTGATAATATATTGTAATCATGATCTGACTTTTCCCGTGATGATAAATTGAAGACTTCTTATGATATGATACATGATTTTTGTTGTGAATAAATTGAAAAAAAAAATGAAACATAAAATAAAAATGCATGATTTACCTTAAATTCAGGTGATAGTGATAGTGAGAGAACACTTGTAGTTTTATAAAACCAAAAGTTAGTTAAGGACATCAGAAACACACACCAGAAGTCTCTTTAGCACATACAAATTACATTTACAGACATCTCTTCGAGATAGAAAAAAGCGGATCATCATCTTTGATTACTTTGCTCATCGCTTTCCTCTTTCATAACCAACTATGACTTTTTAAGTTTTTGCTACTCTCTTCTCGAGCATAACTCATGATCTGTATTCCCTTTTCCTCCATTCCATCCCGATCCGGTTTTTGTTTCGTTTCCCCACAATGACGACTCCGAAACGAACTTTCCGCATGTTCATCGAAGAAGAATTGGGCGAATTCCCGCATTTCTTGGTCTGGGCTGTTCTTGAATGGATGCTCATAATCTCCCTTTATCTCGATGGCTTCCTTTCGTCTATCGCCAACAAATTCGCTGATATTTTTGAATTAGATCCGCCCTGCGTTCTTTGCACTCGAGTGGATCACGCGCTTGGCGAGAAAAACCCGAATTTGTATTACAACGAATCCATATGCGAGTCTCACAAGAAAGATATATCGTCGTTGGCGTACTGTCATGTTCATAGGAAATTATCTGATATCCGAAACATGTGTGATGGGTGTCTTCTTTCGTTTGCAACAGATAAAGATTCGGATTCTGATCCTAACAAGCAAATGGACAAAAATGAGGGTAAGGCGGAGGATGATCAGAAGAAGGCGGAGGTGGAATTAGCGGAGAAAAAGGTTAAGGATTCTAGTAAAAACGAGGTCGGAGATGAGAACAGATGTTCGTGTTGTGGCGAGTGTTTGAAGCCGAAACAAGTTACTAAAGAGGCTTCTAAAGAAGTTTCTAGATGTTTATCGAACTTTCGTGCTCCTTCACTGTTATCGTCTAATTCTCCTAGAACATCATCTTCTTTGTTTCCGAATTCTTCTCCTAGAGCGTTTTCCTCTTCACTGTTTCCAAATTTGTCCCCTAAAGCGTCTTCTTTGTTCCCGAATTCTTCTCCTAGAGCGTTTTCATCTTCGTTATTCCCAAATTCGTCTCCTAGAGCGTCGTCTTTATTTCCGAATTTGTCTCCTAGAGCATCGTCCTTGTTTCCGAATTCGTCTCCTAGAGCATCGTCATTATTTCCGAATTCGTCTCCTCGAGCGTCGTCTCTATTTCCGAATTCATCTCCTCGAGCATCGTCTTTGTTTCCGAATTCATCCCCTAGAGCGTCGTCTTTATTTCCGAATTCGTCTCCTAGAATGTTTTCTTCACTACCACCGATGGCTTCTCCTAGATCATGGAGAATCGAGGAAGGTAGGAATTCGGAACTATCTCACCCTCGGTATAGCGAGCTCAAGTTTGTATCTGATAACGAGCCAGATATGCCCGAAGATGATTATGGAATGAACGTAAACGCCAAACGTAAGTTTACGTAAAAAACTCACTGCTCTTTTCTGTTAATCGATTCGTTTAATGTAATTTGCGAATGATCTTGACGCAGAGATGAAGGACACGAAATCTGGACTAGATACCGAAGACACAAACGAAGATTCTGGCAAAACCCCTGGTTATATCAAAGGAAACAAGTTCTTCGGGATACCGTTAACAGAATCAATTACCGGCAGTCCTAGATGGGCTGCTAGTAAGCCTCCCAAGAAAGCCCCGATTGATAAACCTGATGTATTTTCCGACACCGTGGAAGAACCACCATCGAACGACGGCCAAACCCTTGTTCAACAACTAAAGAAACAGATCAGTGACAACCGGAAAACCCTCGTTACATTGTTTATGGAACTCGATGAAGAACGCAGTGCCGCTGCGGTTGCCGCCAACAACGCGATGGCGATGATCACACGATTGCAGGCGGAGAAGGCAGGTGTTCATATGGAGGCATTGCAGTACCAGAGGATGATGGATGAACAAGCTGAGTATGATGAAGAAGCCATTCAAATCCTTAGAGATTTGTTTTTCAAAAAAGAGGAAGATGTGAAGGTTTTGGAAGACGAACTCGAGATGTATCGAGTGCGATACGGAGAACTTAAGAAATTCGGTAGCGATGACTATGATTTTGATGCCGAGGAATATTACGAGGAGTTGCAATCTCAATCTTACGGAGAGAAATCCGAGAGTGGGAGCCTCGTGGAGGATGGCGGAAATCGAAAGGGGAACCACGAGGAAGCGTCGGTAAACTTTGAAAATGAAAGAACTCGGCTTTTCGGAATGTTGAAGGATTTCGAAAATTATCATGCTCGTTCGTCTTCACATGAGGATCGCCACCATAAACATACGGGTAAACACTCAATTTCGGGTGTGTTGTAGCTTTTAAATAACGAACTAAAGATGCACAAAAAAGCCTAAATCTGGTCTGAAAAGCTTAGGCGTAGAAACCCGAACCCAGACCTCAAAAACTCGATTAGGCCAACTTTCTTTCCAAAGCCCGCTTAAAGTCTTGACTGAAAAATACTCCATGAAAACCATATAGGGCCTATTTTAACACCCAAAGCCCGACCAAATTTGGGTGTGGATTGTCGGACTTGAAAAAGCCTAAGCTTAATCTGTAAGAAATTGGTTTGCTCCTAATTGTCTCTACCTAACTGTTTTGAGTCTCTTACGGTTATTGTCCCATGAGATCAGTCGATGCATGTTGAGCTGGTCTAAGCGTATACGGTTATAAAAAAACTTTTTGATACTTTTCGTTATTGAGTTACTTAAACACAATAAATAACGTTGATTTACAGGCAAAGGAAGTAACGTAAAGCTCTTGAAAGATGTGTCTCTGTTAATGGAGAAGTTGACGGCCATGGAAGCGGAGAGCGGATTCTTGAAGCACGCAGCGATGACGCTTGAAAAGGGCGACGAAGGAACAAAAGTCGTGTCAGAGATCGCCGAACATCTTCGAAAGATTCCGAGCCCCCAAAAGCCCGAGTACACGAACACGATCAATGCATGATGTTTTACTTGTAGACCGATCATACATTAATTGTAGAACGATGTGACATGAAATATCACAATATGATTTTATGAAATATTAATTCAAGTATGATAATAAAATATTTTATTTAAATTATGAAATTTATTTTAATTACGTATAAAAACAGAGGGCTCGGAGATCCAAAAAGTAACGTAATAAAAAAAATGCTCAGAAAAGTGTGGTCACATGGTTTGGTCGTACAAAGAGCTCGGGAGTTGGTTGCAGTGATCATGACCCACCAGTGCACAATAGCAACACCCGCATTCCCTCGCGCTTTCTCCTGCATCCGCTCTGTTATCCTGAGCCCACAACTACGTCCTTCCTCCTACGCTCCTCCTCGCTCAGCCGCGACGGCCAACATGACTACCCAGGATCATCACCTCGAAGCTATTTTCACACAGAAACGGCTTCTCCGATCGAAAATTAAGAAAGATCTCAGGTCGATGGATCCTGCCCTTAGATCTCACGAAGGTATCTTTGTTGGTTTGAGTTTGTATGTGTTGAAGTGATGTATTTGAATATGATGGCCAATCATTTAGTTGAGATTTGTTCTTATCTATTTAGCTAGGTTATCTTCATTTTGATGATAAATTCTGATCAAGAGGAACTCTGTCCAGAAATTTGGCATTTCGAATGTGATCGAGTTTTGTTCTTTGTAAATTATCGATTGTTTACACGGGTAGATAGACTAATATAAATTTGATGGGATTTAGGGGCGGTTTAGCTAAATGCTGCTTTAACATTATTAGGAGTCACTGTTATAATTTATTTTATTGGGTAAGATTGTAGTACATCAAATCGTATCCTATGCAAAAATTTACCATGCAAGCGCTTACTGGGTAAGAGTCGTCACCCTCACTTACCGGGCAAGACTCTCCATCCTTATCGTCGCCTTTACCGGGTAAGATTCTTGGCCCTTGCCATGTTCATCTGATTAGGAAAATTACCCGGTAAGTACTTACCCGGTAAGCGTTTAGTAAACGGCCTCTTAGTCTATGAAGCGATCTAACAAAAGCTGGTTGTGACATTTGAATTTTGCTGCTAACTGTTTGAATTTGAAGTCAGAATACCAATTTTCATTCTTCACATCAATACAGAATCTTTAGTTTTTGAGAAAAATGGTGATCAAGACATGAAACTTGTATCAAGTAATACAAACCCAAAAACATTGATGTTAAACTTATTCCATATCAATTTCCAATTAGAAAAGTAATAGGTTTGAACTCAAAAGTCAAAATGTCTCTTATATTTGTAAGATTATAGTACTTCGTTTCTTTCCAGATGATGCAATCCAGAATTTGATATTGGAAGCTCCATGGTTCAAGTCGTGTAAGAGATTATGTGCTTACATAAGCTGTAGTGCATTGAGAGAAGTTGATACATCAAAGGTGTTACAAGATGTCTTACAGAATGCAATTAAAGGTGTGTTTTCTATAAGAGTTTCGCTACATAATTCGTTTTCGGTATCCACAGAAATGGGTCAGGATTATATTCTTTTCATGTTTTTAAATTCCTGAGTGGAAATAGCAATTTTCTTAGGGCCCATTTGGTTTGATGGTATGTTCTTTTAAGGATTTGGATGTTGGTTTATAGGATTTGGAATGGAATTTTTTTTTTTAAATATTTGTTTGTTTTTTAAATAATTTGTTTGTTTTGTAAGATGTGGAGGCGTTGGAGAGATTAAGGCAGATTTGATGAAATAGATGGGTTAAGATTCTGTGGAAACAATTGAAATCCATGGGATTTGGATTTAAAATCTTCAAGGGATTTCTAAAATCCAAACTTTCCTTCAAAGCAAACACAAGAAATAGCTTTGGGTACTACTACAAGTGTCGTATCTTGAAACTAAAACCATATGATTTTTTACAAATGGTGGTAGTTTCTTTTTCACTTTTTTTTGGAAGGGTCCGAGCTATGCCCGGACTAATCCTTGCAAATTATGACTGTGATAAAATCAGCCCTGATAAACTCAGTGGCTACAATTGTGTGTATGTCTGGAATCGAACTCTGAGCATTCATTACTCACTTATTGGGTGAGCAATTTTCAAACTTTCATTGTTAATTGTGGTCCATTCAAGGGGAAGTTTCAATCATTGGATTAAGTTTAGTCTCTTCAGAGACGCAAGTGTTTCAGTAAAATAAAGAAAAAACACACGAAGAATAACCTATTAGAACTTAACCTTTCTATTTTGTGACCACTAAATTCTATTGGTTATATGAACTGGATATCTTACCGTCCATTGTTGATGAAGATGGCGAAACACAGACCACAAAGAAGCTTTATGTTCCACGGGTGGAGGACAAGAATAGCCACATGCGAATGCTAAACATATCTAGTATGGATGATTTAATTGCAAATTCCATGAACATCTTAGAGCCAGCTCCAGTCGATGCTAATGGGAATGATCGTGAAGATGGTTAGTATTTCTTGTTGGATATAGAAGTTTTGGTATTTCTTCTTTTGGAAGATTAATTTTGGTTTTGCATCTTCAAAATAGTTCCTATTCTGATACATTTGATATAGTTAAATCATTAAATGTGGTCATCAATCTTTCCCACTGAAAAACCAGTTTTAACATCTTTGAAGCTTTTCATACCTTGTTAACTCTTATGGTGGTATGGTAATGGAACTATGGGTACTGAAACCTTTTTGTTGCTTTTTGAAAGAGAGAAGGAGAGTCTAATGTTTATAAAGTCTAAAGGGTTTAACCTATTGCAGTTATGCTGGCAAATGAACCCGTTGACCTGCTTCTGTTACCCGGTAATTTCTCTCAACTACGATTATGTGATTCATAGTCCAAAGTTTTTTCTGATGATTTTCTTTGAAGGGCTTGCATTTGATAAAACTGGAAGGCGAATGGGCCGTGGTGGAGGGTATGTTTTGCTTCTTGCTTCATCTTCTTTTTGGTCCAGCAATGATATTCTAATATTCTTAGTGGAGAACACTTGATACCTATGGTTTCTTTAAGTTTAACTTGAGAGATTAGGAGGGTTTTCAATGATTGAATGAAGATAGTTGATCTTTTATAAATCAAGATTCATAAACATGTTCGTGCTTCATTGATTAGATTCAGTCTTTATGTTAAATATATCTCAACACTAAGAAAATAAAAGGGTGTGGATGAAGATGGTGGAAAGGGCCAAAATACCCATGTACTTCAAGAACTCAGTTCTTTGAGGGTGTGTGCGTGGTGGGGATAATCGGTATTGTTAACCATGAATTGGGAGGTACAACAGGGAATGGGTGATGATTCTGGTCTTTGAAAAAGATCAAGAGATGAAAATATCTTGTGCCAACGACAGAAAAATGTCTTGACAAATTGTGTTCCCAAACAATTTGAACTAATATGTACATGCTAAGCAGGATAGAGGTAAGGTCTGCCGTCTGCTTATACCACTCCCACCCCTCAAACCCTTTTGTTGAGTGGGATATACCGGGTGACATACACTATGTGTAAATAAGAGCAAGATGAACTTATGCTTTATGGATAAGATAATTTATTTCTTTCCCAAATTTCATGCTTTTAGGTATAGGTTCAAATCCGCTTGAATGATTTGGACTCGAAACGCTCAAGTGCCCTTTTTATTTGGAAAATCTGGTTCTCTAACGGGCTAGGTCACAAGTAGAGGCTATCAATGCAATTTCATAACCTTATATATCTTGAGACATAGGTGTTGCCCATTGTATGCATGGATGAACCACAACTGATTTACTACTTCTGTCCATTTTTAATCACTTTTTCTTTATTTTCTCATATTTTTTTCTCCTGCCAAGCAGTTACTATGACACCTTCCTCTCAAAGTACCAAGAACTTGCAAGACTAAGAAACTGGAAGCAGCCACTTCTGAGTAAGTTCTTTTCTTTGATACCAAGATCTGATGCTAAAGCTTTGATACTCTAATAAAATCTTGGTTTTGTTTTGTGCAGTTGCATTATCATATTCAGCGCAAATACTAGAAGAAGGCATGATCCCAGTGACTCCAAGCGACATTTTTATAGATGCGCTTGTATCTCCTTCTGGTTTCATCCCTATAAGCCCTGTTGCCCAACAGATTTGTCCGTAATCTTGCTGGAATTCTTATAGAAATATGTGGTTTTTCCATCATCATTGAAGGAAGATTTGCTTAAAACCAGGGATTTGTAAGAGAAGGCATCTTTTTAAGCATATTTTGCTTCTGCCATTGGCTTAATTCTTGATGTTGTTTCTGCAATTTGTAGATGAACATGCTCTTCGTTACATTGTTATGGAATGGGCATGCACCACTTTTGGATTAAAGTCATGTTTGTCAACCATAGCTTATTTTTTTTGCTTTTGTAAAAAAATTTCGTTTGGTTAGTCATAATCTTTAACTTTTTAAAATACTATTTCAAGTAGCATATCAATAAACTCCGGTGGCTTTAGTCCAAAAAATTTCCCCAATAATGCTTTTTATATTTTCCAAATTAACTTTTAACATGTCCCCTTTTTTTTTTGTCATTTTAGATTGTAATTTATCTTATCAATTAGTGTTTACCAATTATGAATAATTTCTTAGGTTAACTTATTAATCAACAACTAGTTTATAAGCTAAATACGAGCTAGTCTGTCAAACGTAGCCTATAACTTGCTTTCAGATTATCATAAAATCTCACCGAATGTGAAGAGGGCGTTTTGAGTTTATTTATTGCATTTACATTATATAAAATATTATATAAGTTCAAAAAAAGTTGGTTTCTGGGTGAAGTGTATGTTGATTTTGAGTTTAAAATTACCAAGTTTGATCTTGAAATTATGGGCCTGAATACTGATTATGAATTTGAAAGAAACTATGTTCCATTTACTTGTAGGAGCCACTGTTTCAGGCATTGGAATACAACTATTGATGCATGAGGTACAACTGGTTACACTATTTCTCTTCTATATCATCAATGTGCTCTTTGAACAGCAGTCTTGAACAGGAGAACATATAGCTTCTGATCCATGGAGAAATACATAAATCCACCCACCGAATGTGTCACAAATGATCCAAAACTTGATCCTACAATACAATGCCATGCTGGTCCATATACCCCATCAAACTCCTGCAACAATATATCATTTTAGGTCATTTTCGTTTAAAAACGTTTTATTAGATCATTTCTGTTGAATCCATGTGTATTTTCCTTCCGTAACCTAGACAAGCACGACCGTCTTGGTCTTAATCGCTATGCGATACACCTACCGACAATAGGTAACTAGGTTCAGCATCCTTTTTCCCATTAATGTTAGTGATTTATAATGCAAATCTAACCCCTAAATACAACAACTTTCACCATGAAAGATGTAATGTCATATACTATATCCATCATTGACCTATGTTGTCACTTGTCAGTTCTTATTACATCAAACATCAAGATTTCTTGAAACATATTAAACCACTTTGACCTAACACTTCTTAAACCAACATTTAGTTACCAGACTGAACCACATTGATTCCTAAAGAAATAAATGGAAGTCAATCAAGATTCGAGACCCTAGGCCCAAATCACCATAAATGAAAGCTTTTTAATCACATATGAATGAATGAATGAATGAATGAAAAAAGGTAGAGAAATATTAAAGAAAAATGGTGTACCTTTTTTAGAGTCAAAGCAAGGGTTTTGGCAGTGAACTTCTCCAAGCTATCATAAGTTTTTCTTGTTACATCAACAACATGAATTTGCATATAAGGAGGCATATCAGCAGAAACCACTTTGACACCATTACAAGCAAAGAAATCAGCCAACTCAGCTTGTGAGCTTCCTCCAAATGACCTCCTCCTGCCCCTCACCATTCCTAAAGATTGCTGTTTTTTAACATCATAAAGAAGTTGTAATTTTTTCACATCATCATCATCCCCACTTTTCTGTATCAAATTCACATACCCTTTAACATCTTCTTCTTCTTCTTCTTCTTTCTTGGTGGGTATTTTGCTGCTGCTAACAACAATGGCTCTTTTGATGTTGTCTTCTGGTTCTTCATCAAGGGTTTGGGGATGTTCCTTCACTGGTTTATTGGTGTAATAATAATGGGGTTTCCCTCTTTTTTGGGCAACTCTGGTTCTTTGACTCTGTGATTTGGTCAAAGAGGCGGTGGTGGAGCTGCTGTCGGAAATAGGTTGAGTTAAGGAAGAACGAGCTTTATGATTCAAGTACAATCTTGAGAAGTGATTGGATATGTTTTGGACGGTGGTGATGGAAGGATCTGTGGGTTTGCGATGATGGGGATCTATGGGTATTTCAGGGTTAGGAACCGGAAAGTTTCGCCGGTGACTAGAGTTGTGTGACATTTTACACAGTGGTGGTGGTGGTGAAAATGGAAGGTTATCTTTAGGGATCTGTTTGATGTTTGGGGGGTGGGTGGGGAAGGGGGGTGGGGTGGGGTGTTTGTATAGGGGTTTGGTTAGATCTAATGAGTAGGGTAGGGGGTGGGGTCCGTGCGGAGGTCGCGGCAGGGAAATGTGTGATTTATTGAGTTTTGACTCCATCTGTTTTAGCACCCGATGTGCCAAACGTTTCATTTACTCTTTTCTTTTAAATACTACTTTTATTATTATTATTTGGAATTGTTTTATATATTATTTGGTAAGTTACTAAGTAATACATGGTTTTATTTATTTATTAAATAACGTTTGTTATGCATATATGATTAAATTGAATATGATGTAACAGAAGACAAAAGGACGGTCCTCAGATTTGGGATGTTCATGACGAAAAGCTAAAAAAATACCAGTAATATGTGTATATAAAAACCAAAATAAACAATTTTAAAGAGTTTGGAACCTAATCAATCTAGGCCGCTCATTCCTATGCCGATTTTTATTAAATATAATGATACAACCATGGGAAGAGGGGAGGGGGTACATAAACCAAAACCCTATATAACAAAATATAAAATACATCACGTAAAATGATGTCTTTTTGTGTTTTTGAAACAAAAATATCAATCACTTATCATAGTTAATATTAGCTAAAAACTTACAATCTATACTCAAAATTGCCAACTCTTCAATCTTTCTTGACTTATAATAGACTACAAATATGACTTCAACAACTTTAAATTTGAAAAGCTTATTTCTGCAAATGCTACGATGATTGGTATAGTCAACAAAATCCTATAAGCAAGCAAGACATGTAGAAACATGTCCATGTTCTTTGCGAACTCCATAATTTGTATGGATGTCCAAGGATTTCCACTTTTAGATGTCTCTTCTGGTAACATTCTCTGCAAAACTTATAACTCCATAAACAAATATTTTCAATCGATATTAGAATTATCACCATTTGTTAAAACAAGTTCAAGATTCAAACAACATTTTTCCAACTCATCATAAACTAGAGTAAGTAACTTTCGTTCGTCAAACAAGAAGCCAAAAATAGATTCAAATTCTTGCATTTGTTCAAATCTAGTTTGTAATTGCAAAAGAGTCATATCAACTAAAATAAGAAAATAATCAGTTCTAAATATCTTTTGAGCGGATTGTTATTCTCTGGTATTTTAAATTTTATCAAATTGTTTTTTTCTTGAAAAAGAACGCTTTAAAGCAAACTTAGGCTCAACTCTATTATTATTTGCGTTTTCTTTAACTTTACTAATAACACATGTAAACCCATTTTTCCTGTAATTTTTTAAAATAGTCAACTAATCCCTTGAGATTTTGTATTGCAATATCAAGAAACATATCTTTAGACTGTAATTTCTTACTAACAAAATTAATTATATGTCAAATAACCAAACTTACAACAAATTCAAAACTTGAAAGCTCACCATCACATATGTTTTCATTATCACAAACATTATTAATATTTTCATCGTCACAAACAAGATTTTCAACCGGATTTTCAGAAACATTTGATGGTCTAACAAGAAATTAATTCATAGATCCTTTCATACATTGAACAATTTCTATTTGTCATTTTTGCCTTTTTCTATTTTGTGCACCGGATAGTTATGATCTAGAAAACATCTATATGTAACCAACAACACATAAAGATTGCTATTCATTCAAATGTTGAGGGGAAGTAAATTCCATAGAACCAGTCAACCACTAAGGGTGAGCAACAACAAATCTATCACTCAAAAGACAAAGGTAAAACACCAACGAATTGTATGGAAGTCTTTGAGGACCAAAGACAAAGAAAAGAAGCAAGAAGAAAACAGTCCTCTGATCGCCTTCATCTCCAACCTCCGAAGTTTAGCTATTATTTTATGTAAAATTCTTTCATTATTAATCCTTTGTTTTAATGTTATGAATTGTTTACAAATCGTTTGTCTAGCTAAAGTTTATTTATTATGTCCTTATGTATGTTCCTCTTATGTCTTGTAATCCGATCAAGGAAAGAGAAGAAAAAGAAAGAAGAAAACAAAATAAAAAGATGAAAGTTTGACCAAAAAAAAGAACCAAAAAAATATTAAAGGCAATTAGAATCCAAAAATGGATCACTATATTATTTATGAGTTCGCATTTACTTTTTAACTTATAAGTTTTGGTGACATCTTTTTTTCTAAGTGTTCACAAATGTGTTGTCTATTTGTATTATAATAATAGAGGTAGATTATTAGTCTCAACCATCAGATTTGTATATAATACTAATAGACGTCTGATCAAACACTTATAAAAGAATTTCTTATTTTCTTTGCTTAATAAGGTACTTACCCGATGTATATTACTCATAAGATAAAAACCTCAATTGATATAATTCATCTATTTTTTAGTCTCAGATATATCACCTCATCAGATGTGTCTCTCTGTAGTTGGCCTTCATCTAAGCTTCCAAAAACCCTTGATCGGATTTAGTCATTCATCGGAGAAAGGTTCATGTATGCACCAACTTTTAGTTTACATCCAACGCATACTTCATAAATAGTCTATAACTAATAAAATCCAATTTGTAGCTTACTTATCGGATATAGACAAAGGTAACATTTTTTACTTGTAAAAGTCTTATAACAATATGTACTGATCAAAGAGCATTATGCCTTCAGCAAAATTGAAGACTAATTGAAGTGAGGTCAAGATCTTCAATAAAACGGATTGGTTTGTCATCTAGCCGAAAGAAGATCAGTACAAAGTAAAAAGTTAAGTAGTAGTCTGACAAATACTGCTACTAGTTTGGATCTCTAACTCACTTGCTTCCTAATCTTAGTATAAGAAAACCACAAGAGTGGTGCCTGATTGGTTTGAGCTTGGCTCCAAAGGTCAAAAGTACTAGGAGGTCCCAGGTTCAAATCCAAGGAGGAATAAAAATCCCCTTGTGGCCATGGAGGTTCAAATATGGTGACTCCGGGCTATCTACAAAGCAGGTGGTCGCACTGAGATTAATCAGCTCGCATAGCGGGTTGCATATCCAGGTTAATAAAAAAAATTGTATGAAAACATGTATATCATGTCAGCCTAAGCAAGTACAAAGGTACCATGTGAGTGGTACTTTGTCTGCTTTACTGTTTCCTCCACATACTAAAAAGGATGGATGAAGTTAAAAATGAGTATACATCAAACTCATAGGTTGAAGTGAAGAGTACTAGGATACATGGATCAACCAACAACAAGAAGATTGTTGGTCCCGTTAGGGTCTACAAGATGTGTATAACAGTTTGTAGAAGAGGCGGTGAATACAAACACAATAAACTTTTCAAATTAAAAATATATTGATAAAAAAGGATCAATACAGATTTTACAAGATTGTATGCGGAAAGATAAGGTAAAGATAACCTATCTAAACAATCTAAGTTACACACTAGTTCTTAGCAAAGAGAAATGATTTGTTGTAAAAGACTTAGAAGAAAGTAAGTTCTTTCTGGGTAAGAACTATTTAGAATACTAAAAAGGGATTCTAACTTGCTTTTGAAGATAAGCGTATTGTGTTCTTAGATGTGTGTTCTTTTACTTATGAACGTAAGTTAGGGTTCAAGAGTAAGTATTAGAGTATCTCTACCTGGAGATAAAACACATCTATTTATACTCATTCATTTAATGCAACTTAGTAGGGTTTGAACACGTATCAAGCCTTTAGAGAAAGACTTGTCCTTTGCTACAGTGAATAGTACAAAAGCCTATTCATGAGCAGACTTCATTTCATAAAGTCGGTGGGTAGTAGAGTCAACTAATCGGCTCCGTACCGTACTATACTTTAGAAAGGGYATGGGTTTGTCCTTTGTGTGTATAAGGACAAGACAAAAGCAATCGTGCTCAACAAGCTTCTTTTGATCGCTGAATGCTGGAATAACCTGAAGGTCTTTTCAGCATTCGCTGAGGCTTGGGCAGTCTTTATACATGTGTAGACCAGGTTGTAATCACTGAATACTGCTTCAGATCACATACTCGCCAGTCTCTAATCTTCAGTTTCAGTTTTCGACTTTCGCTGAAGGTTCTTTGGTGTGAGTTTTGTCTTCTTGGAGTATCGCTATCGCTAATAGATTTACATTACATGTTCTCAACGATCACTGAACAGACTCAGTGATGATCGCTGGAACTGGAAGACAGAAACATAAATACTTCGTACAAGGTAAAAGGGATTATCATCAAATCACTGAGAGAGAGGATCAACAATTTCCCCCTATTTGACGATAACAAGACAACATAAAGAAAGTTGTCTTATCGAATAACAGTAAGAAAAAGTTACATATAAAGTACATGTCCCTCTTAACTGTTTTGAGATCTTTTTCAGTGAGTCAGTCTTTACTTAGAAAATTTTCTTAAGTTTAAGTCTAAGAAAAATTACAAGAAGGGAAATTGAAACTGAAAGCATATTCACTGACTTATAGATTGTCAGTGAATGTAAGAGTAACATTGGAACTCATAGACTTGTGTCCCTATTACTCTTTTCAGGGATCTTTTTCAGTGATGCACAGAAAATACTTATATTAAATTCAAAGGAAATATTACAAGTGTTTCAGTACATGTCTAGACTTACAAAATATAAGAATAATCACTGAAAGTAGACATAGGATGTAGTTTATAGTGCATGGACAATATTACAAAGGAAATAAACTAGTCTAAGTCGCTCAGCTTGATGTAACCTGGTACATTTTCTCCAAGCTCCTTTCGACGTAGAAACTCCCTTCTTATCTTTCGGTCCACCAATACACCTTTTAAGTCATCATCTAGCCAGAACCTGAGATAAACGAGGTGTTCCATAGGGTATAGATGTAACTCATATATTCTCTAAAATCTTACTTCACCGTCATAGTCAAGGAATATAAGTCCTAACTCAGGTTTGAAGTGCACAGTGTTGGGTACATAAGGACCCTTTGCTGGCAAAACAAGATTCAACATAGAGATGTCTAGACTCTCAGAATCCTTCAGGACTTCATCTAAGGAGAACTTTGTTTCATGTTCGTTCCTCAGGGATGGTC